GAGAGAGAGAGAGAGAGCTATATAAATTCTATTTCCAGAAATAATAATAATTTGGCATTACTATCGGAACGATGAAATTTTTGTGCGATTTTCATTAATCGTATTCATATACGCTGCATAATGTTTTTACAATGTACTCGATATTATCGTTGTTTCATTCGTCCAGTTGTTATTATTTATAATTTTTCATTTATTACATTTATATTTTCATTTGTCTACGTATATCCAAGGAAGGAATAAATTAATGTGACAAATATAAATAAAAATATAACATATATGTATAACATATATAAGAAAATGCACAAAATAAATTGTTGAATCGCTGTGACTCAGCAGTTTCGATTTTAGCGATAAGTTATCAGACTTTCTTATTTACTCTTCAATAGAATATATACACGAGTAACGTAATATTATATAAGGTTATTCTTATTGAAATAAGGTAATAATTCCTATCTTGCGCCGCTTAAATCAAACCCTACTCGAGTCTGATAGATTCAATCCTGAGGTACAGAGTTAATCCAGAGTACATTTAGGTCGATGGCACATCAAACACGTGATGTACTGTGCACATTGTGAACTATACCTAACTATATGTATATGTATATATACGATATGTATATGCACCAATTCCAAAGCTAGCACATTTATTACGTTTCTTTTCTCTTCCAAGTTGTGACAAATCAGCGAATTTAGTATGTTATTTACTTATTTTTTTTTTTTTTTTTTTTAGATTTTCGATCGCAATTAGATTTAAATAATATAAAGAATCGATAAACGTACGATGTTCAAAACATCGAAATTGCAAATCACAGTAATTTACATAATTGATCTTTAATGTCAGATACAATAAAAAAATTGGCATAAAGTATAAAGTACGAAAATACGAGATATTGAATATTCGATTATCGGATAAATCGAGCGTGAATCGATATTGCGTTTAAGTTTCATTCAGAAAAAAAATTACCTACTTGGTATATATACGATAACTCCCATAGTCGCCATTTAAGCTCGAGAAGAGCTTAATCCGAATCTTAACTTCAATCTTTTCTTCGATCGAACGATAGTTTCACCTTATTGTTAATAGTACATATAAACCGGTATTATATCTCGAGAATTTTCAAGGTACGGTAAACGGTACAATACGTGTAGGAGTGCATGTTCGAGAACGTCCAGCGTAAATGTATTTTCTCGTAGTAAGCAACTCTTTAGCACCTTTACTTTGCCAGATGTTCCTTTCTCTCTTTCACAACAATCTTCCACGGTATATTAAATTCACCTCCGTCGATGCATATTAATCACGTTCAAATAAACACAAATATACACTGTGAGTTCTTCTTTCTCGGATAACGCAACGATCACTTTGTCAAAAAAAAAACCACAGATACAGTTTAGAAATCCTTGAGATTAACATTTAACCACGATCGCGATAGAATATTTGAATCTGCGATAATGAGATAGATCGGCATCGTTGGCATCGCACTCGATATTACACGTACACTCGTATGGAAATATATCATTCGAATCGAATGGAAAATTAATAACGCGTTTTAGGTAGGTGGGAAGAAAAAAAAAAAAAAAGAAAAAGAAAAAGAAAAAAGTTGGATATCGGTGTAATAGAAGAAATTAGGTGAAACGGATTCCGTTTCATCGATGTTATAATATTTATAGTTGGTCGAGTGAAAAACACGGGCGAGAATTCGTGGAATCGGACGATTTTCTGTTCTAGGAACGCATTAGACCCGGTTAGACTCGGCACGATTAGCACGACACCGCGAGATACGTAAGATAGGCATTCGATCGCGAACGCAGCGTAAACATTACTACGGTATGTAAGTACTCACTTAAGTTGGTGGCGCGTAGCCGAGAGGCTGACCCGGCGCGGGGCGTCACCACTCGCTTCAAGAGGCTGGTGACTAGCGTCACTTTTCACTTCGGTATTGGACGGACAACGACGGTGGGAGCGACGGCGTACGGCTACGTCGCGTGTCCACCGATTCGTCATACGACCAACTCGCCTTCCCTTCGACGATTCTTTCATCGACTTCACGAAACTTACC